TAAAGTCGTTGATGGCTGAGCTCCACATCAAGAAGGCTTAGACTTTATTTCCAAGATCACACCATCAAAATCCCTGTAGACCAGCAAATGAAATAGGTGTTACACAAACCAGAGTCCTCAGAAAGGATGGTCAAATGGGCAATAGAGCTTAGTGAATTCAATATCAGATACAAACCCAGAACCGCGATCAAAGGGCAAGTTCTGATAGATTTCATCTCAGAATTCACTACAGCCTCAGCAGTATCCATGGAGGTAACCTAAATAGTACCCAATCTCCGCACATGGAAGTTTCAGTAGATGGAGCTATCAGCGTATAAGGTAGCGATGCGGGATTGATTTTGACCTCCCCTGATGGAATAGATATCGAATATGCTCTCAGATTCAGGTTCAAGGTGACAAACAATGAAGGTGAGTACGAAGTCGTCATTGTTGGACTCAACTTAGCGCATTCCATGGAGGCAAAACAACTTGTGATCTACAACAACTCCCCAACTCATGGAGAAATAGATCGAAGAGACTTATGAAGCTAAGGGAAAGAGAATGATCCTATACCTGAGGAAGGTACAAAAAAAAAAAAAAATTTGTGCAGGTTAAGATCATACATGTCCTTAGAATAGAGAATTTTTGAGCCGACGCTTTAGCCAGGCTTGCCATAGCTTCCCAAGAAAACTTGGACAAATTAATCCTAGTTGAGCACTTAGCTGAGCCATTAGTGAGCCATGAAGATGAAGAAGTGTTCCCTGTACTGGCCCAGCCAAACTGGATGGATCCAATCAAGGAATATCTTCATAATAGAACCCTACCAGCAGACCCCAAAGAAGCCATGAAGCTAAGAGCCAGATCATCCAGATTCGCAATCCTGCAAGGGAACCTGTACAAGCAGAGCTTCTTAGCACCTCTCCTAAAATGTGTAGGGAACAAATAGGCTAACTACATTCTAAGGGAAATCCACAAAGGAATCTGTGAAAATCACATTGGAGCTCGAACTCTGTCGTGTAAAACATTAAGGCAAGGGTACTTCTTGCCCACCTTGCTTAAAGACGCAACAGATCTGGTTAGAAGATGTAAGACCTGTCAATTACATGTCAATGTCCCACACTGGCCACCAGAGCTCCTCACCTCAGTGGTGAGCCCCTGACCTTTCCAATAGTGGGGATTGGATATACTTAGACCTCTTCCCACTAGTACTGGAAAAATGCAAGTTCTCCATTATTGGGTTGAATTATTTCATCAAATGGGCTGAGATAGAACCCTTGGAAACAATTACAAAGCAAAAGATCCAAAAATTCACCTAAAAATCCATAGGCTACAGGTTCAAAATACCTAGGGCGATCCTCAGACAATGGGAAGCAGTTTGACAATCCAAAGTTCAAAAAGTTCTGCGCCAAGCTAGATATAAAAAATTACTTCTCTGCTCTAGCTCATCCTCAATCAAATAGGCAAGCAGAAGTAACTATTTGAACCAAAAAAACGGTTCTAAAGACCAAAATAGAAGCCCTAAAAGGGCGATGCGTGGAACATATTCTAGAGGTGGTATGGGCTTATAGAACTACAACCAGGTTGGCAACTCAAGAAAAGTTGTTCGCCTTAGTGTTTGGAACCGAGATTGTGCCTTCTGTGGAGGTCAACATCCCATCTCCAAGAGCAGAGCTCTCAAAACCCGAGCATAATGATAAGTCACTTCTGCTCAACCCTGACCTCTTAGATGAAAAGAGAGACAAAGCCTTGCAGCGCATCATAAGTTACAAAGGAAAACAGCCAAATACTACAACAAGAGGGTCAGACACAAGAGCTTCAAAGTTTGAGATCTGGTCCTTAAAAAACTCCTTCCTACAAGAAGGGATCCCACTCATGGAAAGTTAGGACCTAATTGAGAAGACCCATACATCATATCAAAGATAATCAGGCCTAGGAATTAAGAGCTGCAAACTAAAGAAGGAAAAATCTTACCTCACTCCTAGAATGCTGAACATCTGAAAAGATTTTTTCAGTAAACTCTTGTAAAAAGATAATCATCAATAAAATAACAAGTCTCAACTCAGTCAACATTTCATTAATAGCTTAAAGCTAACAATGAGCTCCTCAACTCATAAGCAAATGATAAGCTCTCAACTCATAAACAAACGATAAGCTCCTCAACTCATAAACAAACGATGAACTTCACAACTCATAAACAAATGATGAGCTCTTCAACTCATAAACAAACGATGAGCTCATCAGCTCATAAAAAAATGATAAACTCTTCATCTCATAAACAAACAATGAGCTCGTCAGCTCATAAACAAACAATAAGATCTTCAGCTCATAAATAAACAATGAGCTCTTCAGCTCATAACCAACGATGAGCTCTTTAGCTCATAACCGACAGTGAGCTCCTTAGCTCATAAACACTCGATGAGCTCTTCAGCTCATAAACACATGATGAGCTCTTCAGCTCATAAATAAATGATGAGTTTTTCAACTCATAAATAGAATATGAGTTCTTCAGCTCATAAATAGGAGATGAGTTCTTCAACTCATAAATAAATGATGAGCTTTTCAGCTCATAAACAGAAAATGAGCTCTTCAGCTCATAAATAGAAAATGAGCTCTTCAAGCCAAAAACAAAAGATGAGTTCTTCAGCTCATAAGAGATGAGCTCTCCAATTCATAAGAAAAAAGCTCCCGACAAACAGTCACTTTCCTCAGGTTGGGAACAGGCCTCATACTTTGCGAAATTCAAACTCACTTCCAGAAGAACAGAGTTCTTCTAATAAATCGAGTCCGATTCAGTTCGCTACCTCAATTGGGCTTTTCAGCCTAAAAATTGCAACTACCAAAGTAAAGTAATAAACAATACATTCAACATAAAAAGTGGTTTTATATTCATAAGTATGGCAGGGTTATAGAAAGAAGAAAAGAAAAATTTCTACGCCCCCTAAGTCCCTGCTTCAACTCAGATATCTCCTCCTCCAACTACACGTTCATAGCTCGCAGACGAGCATTCTCAACCTTCAGCTCATCTAGTTTTTTCTCCACCTTAGAGAACTACTTTTTGAGGTTCACATTCCCCAATGCAAGCTCCAGCTCAGTAGTTGTAAACTTAATCTCTCCTAAGAAAGAACCTGATGACTGTGATGATGAGTTGCCCCTTCTACGCTTCCTTGAGGAAGTAACAACATCCTCGTCCGATTCAATAGGAGAAGAGTCTACATCAATAACATGAGGAAAAGGGCATGAGGTAGCATCCAGAACGGCAGCAGAGCTACTCTAATCCCAAACCAGAGAAAGTTCTGGGAACCAGCTCGTCTGGGGTCAGGCTAGGAGCACCTACACAACAAAAGCACAATTAGAACTAATTATAATATTTGTAAATCACAAAATTGAAGATCCTAATCTTCTACCTCTATCAAAGAAACGCCCCCAAGAATGAGGGACTCGAGCACCCTCGAACCGTGCCTCAGCAGACTCCCAAGAGTCCCCAAAAATAAAGAAAAAATGTTAAGTCCACCCCTCAGGAGAACTAGGGGCCTCGAGGACTAGTGGAGAGTCAAAGTGGCGCCTCTATGTGATGTGGCTAAAGTAGGGGGGCATGTCAAAAAGAAGATAATAAAAGTAGATGAACTTGCCAATAGTGGGAATGTCATTGTAGCGTTGCAGACGCCAAAAAAATAAAAAAGCTTATCAGAATAACCCATCCTTCAAGGGAAAAACAAGAGGGGCACAACCCAAAGAAGGCCAGAACCCTCCCAACGACGGAATGGATGGGTAAATAAAGACCAATCTCAAAATCACTTTCAAAGAAGAAAACTTCCCACCGAGGGAGAAAGTTGCAAGGCTCATCAGGAGTTGGGACTCAGATGTTCAAGACATCAGGCAGAAGATACCACCTCCTAACTTCCATAACCTCCGAAGTTGTAATCACAAAGGAGAGCAAAAATACAGAGTACCAGGGCACGTCAATCATGGCCTGGACATGTTGTTTGAACAGTGGAGTAAGAGAGGAAGCCATGAAGCTAGAAGAAAAGAATAAGGTAAGGGAAGTTCTAAGAAGAATTGGGAATATGAAGAATAAGAAGTCCCAAGTTTTATGCAAACAATAAGGAATCTCAAGTTTTAAGGAAGCAAATAGCACGCGAAGGCGAAGAAGCGGCCATTATACTTCCATAATCATGGCAACGGTTAAGGAAAGTGGCATTTTAAGATGGTAGGTGGACACAAGTAACGATCCGTTCATTGCTTTTCACCTCAATCCTTACATCTCAGTCCAAAAGTATACGACACTAGAGGAACAGAACGATCGAAAAAAGCTTATGAAAAATAGAGCTCAGATATAAGCCGCTCAGCACAATACAGGGCAGAATGGAACAAACCAAGCACAAGAGGCATGGGAATAGCAAAAACAAGCACCGTACTCCAAATAGGCCAAGACTTGTTTGGAGTAGAGGGGAAAAGAAAGAAAACCAAGAAAAATACAAGAGAGATCGCCACAAGGTACAAAATAAATATAGGTGAAATCCCAAGTTTCTGCAGCATCCTTAGCATTAACCTCTGGCAGCTCCGAAGCAGCAGCTAGAGTAGAATCAAAAGGAGCCTTAGAAGCCGGGATGAGTGTATAGACCAAGGATGTGAGCTCTTCAACTCATAAAAAAATGGTGATCTCTTCAGCTCATGAACGAATGATGATTTTTTTAGCTCATAAATAAATGATGAGCTATTAAGCTTATGGCCAACTCAACAAGTTCTTCAGCTCACAAGCACTCTGCAGATAAGCACTCAAGCCAACGTTGGGAACTGACCTCATACTTGCAAAAATCCAGATTCACTTAAAGAAGAACAGAATTCTCCTCAAAGCAAGGGGCAAAGGGGAGCAGACAAAGTGCAAGAATACAACAATCAAAAAGCAACAGTTTAAAATACAACAGTCAAAAAGCAAAAATACAAGAACGCTGGACAAAAATATTTTTAATTTTTCAAAGAGTTGGTTACAAAGTCTTCTACAACCAAAATACAAAGAAGTCCTAAGCCTCTACAATATCCTTGGCAATGACTTCAAATGGCTTAGGCAAATTAGCAGCAGCAACTGGGGTCAAGTTAGCAGGGGTTTCAAAAGCAAGGATCTCGGCTGGAGGTAGAGAGACCTCAACATCAACAGGAGCAAGCTCAAAAACCTGAGCCTCGGAACCAATGTTATCAGAACCAGACTGGACTGGTTCAATTGTGATCTGGGACCTTAGCCTATCTGGTTCCCTATTTGGACCGCTTAAGGAAGAAAACCAGCTAAAAATTGGAAAATTAGCCAATTTTTATAAAAAGACTATGAACCAACGGGTTTTATAAAAATCGGACGGTTTAATGCCCAATTAAAAATTAAATTACATAAATAAATTAAATTAGAATCTTTTTGTATTTGGGGCCTTTTTTTGCCCTAAATTGCAGAAGGCACCACCACCAGGTTCCAACGACCAGGGATCTTCGATTACGATCAGCCACTACGATCAGCGACTCAGGCGACTGCAACCTACAAACTCAGGCAACCAGCGAGGAACTCAGGCAGCTATCATCTCCTCCATTTACTTGCTTCTATTAGACTGTAACATTAAGGTAAAAACTTCCTTTCATATCTTAGCAACCAATATCTAGAAGCTTGAGATTTACACCTCAACATTATGCAACTAAGAACATTAATTTACCAGTTGGACATCACTGTGTAAAAACAGATTGCTTCCCTTGTTCCTGCAAAATTTTTGGGCATGCACCTTACACATGCAAAAAATGACTGTGACTACATCTTTTTTTTTTAATTTTTTAGTATGATGTGTGATGTTTGTTTAATTATTTGGTGTTTATTATGCACATTGTTGGGTGATTTTGAGCATCACAAAATCAATGTATTTGTTTTAAGACTTACTTAGATCTATTGGGTAATTGAAATTATCTATTATTGATGTTGTTGTGCTATTATTGTCTATTTGTGATCTATTAAGATTGTGAATTGAGATTGTAGGATTGTTAATTGGGATTTTTGTTGTCATTGTGGATTTTATGGTTTCAGTTTCTTTGCTTTAGCAAAATGTCATCTTCTGGGACATCAAATGAATCTACTCCAACCCCAACTAGTTCTACAGCTACACCAAACTCTTCCTCTACACAAGCTACAATTAGAGGAAAAACTAGCCCTGCATCAGAACATTGTTGGGAAGATGTTGTTCCTCCAAAAAAAGGGAGGAATTTGATTTGTTTGTATCACCAAAAAGGTTATAAAGGGGGTGGTATCAACAGATTCAAACAACATTTGGCGGGGATTAAACGAGCAGTATAACAATGTGCCTTCCCAATGCGAGCCTGAAGATGAAATTGCTCCTAAAAAGTGTTGGTAACAAGACAAGAAAGACACAAGAAGATTACGATGAATTAAATCAATATGGACCAGAGTTTATAAAATATGAAGAGTAGGAGTACATGCAAGAGAACGACGACTTTCAAGAACTTCCATCTTCTTTTAAGGGAAAGGGCATTTCCATTGGTGGAAGTCGAGGTAAATCGGAGGAATAAAGGGTCAAACAATTAGCTCTTTCTTTGTGCCAAGGACTACTCCAAGTGCTCAACCTACTATTAAAAGTGTGTTACAAAGTAAGGAGGCAAAAGAGAGGTGTGATCTTGTTGTTTCTAAATGTATACGTTTTTGCTTGCATTCCCTTTAATGCTATGAATTCCAAGTATTATCAACATATTCTTGACGCAATAATAGGTTAGGGTGGTGGTTATAAAGGCCCTTACTTTCATGACATTCGTGGTTATTTGTTGGACAAGAATGTCGAAGAAGTCAAAAATTTTGTTCATAGTTTTAAAACCACATGGAAGGAGACTGGTTGCACTATCATGGCCGATGGGTGGACAAATCAATGTAGGAGAACTCTCATTAATTTCTTGGCCTATTGTCCTAGAGGAACAGTGTTTTTAAAGTCATTTGATGCTTCTGATGCTTCAAAGACAACTGATATGTTATCTAAACTATTTAAAGAGGTGGTGTTACTTGTTGGTGTAGAAAAAGTGGTGTACATAATAACTGACAATGCTGCAAATTATTTTGCTACAGGGAGGTCATTGGAGCAAGAGTTTCCCATAATATCTTGGTCACCATGTGCAGCTCATTGCTTGAACTTGATGTTGCAGGACATTGAAAAGTTGGATGAGGTAAATGATGTTGTGTCTCATGCTTCGAAGATCACAAAATACATATACAATCATTGTTTTCCTTTGCATTTAATAAGGAAACATACTAGTGTAAGGGAAATACTGAGACCTGCTCCTACATGCTTTACAACCAATTTTATTGCATTGCAAAGTATTTTGGCACAAAAGGATGTTTTATGAGCTATGGTTACGTCAAGAGAATGGACTTGGTCGGCATATGCCAAGGAAAGTAAGGGAACAAAATTTGTTGATAGTGTGTTGGATTCTAGGTTTTGGAAAAAATATGCTATTATTGTCCAACTCATAGAGCCTCTTGTTCGAGTGCTATGGATTGTTGATAGTGATGATATGCCTTCAATGAGCTATTTGTACATAGCTATGCATACAGCTAGGGAGGAACTATTAAGAAGATTTCAAAAAAAAGAAGAAAGAATAGATGTTTACTTGAAAATCATTGATTCTCACTGCGATAGACAGCTTCACAAAATTCTTCATGCCGTTGGTTATTGGTTGAATCCGAGTAACCAACATAACACTGTTGAAATGGAAAAGCACAGGCAGACTATCTTAGGGCACTTGGATGTGATTGAGAGTTATGCTTATGGAAATCCCATTTAACAAGTAAGTTGAAAATGAGATAAAGTTGTTCAGAAATTCAGAGGGAGACTTTGGGCGGGTGACTGCTATTAGTGATCGACATACGATGCTTCCTGGTACTTAGAATCTTTTGAATTTTGACTAATTCAATTCAAGTAGTCTATTTAGTGTATTTTAAGTGTTATAATTTAATTGTGATGCATCAAGTGCAGATGAATGGTGGTTGTGTTATGGAAGTAGTGCACCAAATTTACAAAAATTAGTCATTCGCGTCTTAAGCCAAACATGTAGTTCTTCGGGTTGTGAACGGAATTGGAGTGCATTTGAACACATTCATTCAAAGAAAAGAAATAGGTTGGAGCATCAAAGGCTTAATGACCTTGTTTATGTCATTACAACTTAAGATTACAACAAATGTATGAAATCTATGTTAGTACCTTATTAAAAGACAAATGATTTTTATTATATTTCATTGATTGCATATTTCAGACATTTTCATCAAGTAAATGAAAATATACAGGAATTACTTGAGGGGTAGAAATTATGATCCTATTGACTTTGAAGATTTCACAATTCCTCATGGATTTTAGAGGATGAGCCTCCACGTTTAACTATAGATGAACTAGAAAGTTTTCATGGTGAGTTAGTTGCATGCAATATCCAACCAAATCTCAACACTTGTATGTTTCATTCTTCTTGTATTGTCTTTATCACTAAAAGTATATATCTGCAATCATTATTTGATACATCAATAAATAATTCCTCTTTTGGATATAATGTAGATGAAATTTTGAACTTTGAATTGGATAACGACGATGATGATCTTGAAAATGAAGAGGGTAATGGGAGTGGAGGTTTTGGGAATGAAACTACTGTTGAAAAATCAATCGCGTTGCAACTGAGAACCCCGAGTTTGGCGTGAATTGGAGTTTATGGAGCAGTAGTACTCGTTAGGAAAATGAGAATGAGTAGAGAATGTACTTTGTGTAAATTTTATCGAGTATTTAAGGAGTTGTACTTTTATTTTGCATGGCAATTGTGATGTTGTGTTTGAGATTTGCAACTTATGTTTACTTATAATTTGGATGATGTGTTCTTATGTAAAATTTTAACTTCAATAGGAATTGTGGTTCGGGGTTTAGACTTAGAGTGATTTTTTTGTTATGTACTTGGATTGAAGCTTTAAAGTTCAACTTTAATATTTGACACAGGTGTTTCTTTTACTTAACTTCATTAATTTTAGGAAAAATTGTATGCATTTTAGACATATTTTATATTTTTTAGCTAAATTATTATATATATTTTTTTATTACATGATTGGTCCGACTAGTTGACCCACCGGTTGAATCAGTGAACCATTGACCCAGTGTTCTAGTCGGTTCGATAACCGGTCCGATTTTGATAATATTGCTCAGAACCACCAGGGACTTCAACCCCATCACCAATGGGCTCCCCCACCTTAGGATCAGTAGCAGCTGGGACCTCCTCAGCCTTGGACTCTTGTCCTCAACCTTGAACTCTTCTCCACAGTTGGGAGGTCAAAGTCAAAGTCCTGATCTAGGTACCTCTTCATAGCCTGCCCCTGGAAAGCAAGGTACCCAGTAACTCAGTTGGTGGCAGCCTCATCCTCCAGCTCAGCAATCTTGGCATCCTTCTTTTGAGCTACAACTCTCTCCACCTCAATCTCCTTCAGCAGCATAGAGTTGACTTCAACCAACATGTTATACTTCCTCTTCATAGATTGAAGGGAGTCGAGAACCTCGAAGGTGTCCTTTCAAGCTTGAAGCAAGCTATCAGTTTTCAGCTTGATCTCATCCTTTGTCTTCTTAACCTTAGTCTCTAGGTTCTTGTTGGCTGAGGCCAGCTCCTCGACCTGGGTCTGTAGGTCCTGCACCTGGGCCTTGAGATCATCATTGGATAAGGCCAGCTCAGAGACTCTAGAGCTCAGACGCCTTGGTTGTGCCTTCCAAAGCCCTAACCCTGCTCACCAGAGCACTCACCTGGATGGCCAGGTGAAAGAAAACACAATAAAGACCCAAAGTCAGTACAAGGCAACAACACACAATAGAGGTAAAAGTTTATGAAATCACTACTTACCGAAGTGGCACCATATAAGGTGATAGCTGCAGAGGTGGCGAGAGGAAGAGCAACAACCACCTGAATGTATGATTCAGGGATGATTAAGGCGAGGGTCTCAGCAGCAAGGCTCACATTCCTGATCAAGGAGTTATTGCTTTTCTCAACCTTCAGGCCTTCCATGAGCAGGTGATGTCTCTTCTCGGCAAGTCGGGAAGGAGAAGAGCCTCGCAAGATGGGTGCAATCGACTACAGAGCCCCCTTAACCTCAGTCAATGAAGGAGATGTTGAGGTCCCAGCTTACCCAGAAGCTCCTTCAGAGGGAAGAGTCAAGGACTCTCGAGGAGCTGAGGTTTGTGCGATCTTCGATAAACTCGATGGGGGCGTAGAAACCACCTAAGGAAGAGAGGGAGAAGTAGGAGGCATATCATTCCTCATAAAAAGAGGGGTGACTTCACTAAATTCGACGAGTTCTGAAGCTCTAGGGGCGACCTCTGTCTCCCCAGCACTGCCAGAAACCCCAACCTGACTCATCTTAGATTTTTCTTTTTGAGATTTCTTCGACCTTGAAACAGGGTAAGATAATGGAATAGGGACCTCGACCTCTTCCCCAGCGTCGATAGAATCAACATTGGGGAAATTATCAATCTT